CTGCAGCAAGCAAGCCTCCTGCTCGCTTCAGTGCCTGGCTTCCGGCCGCCATCTTGGCTGACAGTTAATTTGCATATACTCACTGATTAGCCAATGAAAAGGGTAGCGGTCGTACGCTAATTACCATGTTTCTCTTTTATTAGTGTAGATTACAGCCCTCCATAAAAAAAATGTAGTTAGTAGGAATAAACGAAATGGTATTAAACAAAGAACTAGTGCCTAGAATTGTAGCATGGTTTGCTCATATTTTCATTCTGGTGTCTTATTTTTTAATTTTTTTGTTCTTTCCTTTTCTATTGTGGAGTCATTCTTTAGTTGAATAGAGTAATGAAACCCCTTTTCCCCATGGTCAAAAAACCAGTAATAAGAACCTTGAGTACCACTACCTTTGTTGATTTCCCTTAAGAAGTGACTTTTTTGAACCACTGTATGGGGAGGTATAGCAGTTTTTATTTGTTAATAGCACATCAAATCTATAATGACCCTTGAAATGTCCTTAATTTTGCTAATATTTAGCTGTTCAGAATTTGTTGGTTAATTTTAAGTGTCTGGTGGGATCGTTGAGCTGACAGCTAACAGCATGATGCTCACAGTGTGTCTGCCTCATCCATGAGTGAGGTTCAAAGTACCCTCCTAGGGAACGTTTCCTCTTTGATTTATACCTAATCACATGTTTGTTTCACTTGCATTAAATGAATGATACAGATGTAAAGTGAATGTGATGGAATAGTATTCTATATTCTATGAGCAGTAGCTTTTGCTTTACAAAATCAGCATCCCTTAGTTTGTTCTCAGCTAATCCAGCAAATGAAAGTGATCAGATTTGGCCCTTTCCCTTCCTGCCACGAAAATGGCTAATGATCTCCCTGCGTTATATCTGTGACTTTGCAAACCTAAGATTAAATGCTTTATTTTTAGATATTATATATCTGAAACAATTCCAAATTTTTAAGCTACATGAACTTATCAATGCATAGAAAATAGACACATAGTAACTAAATGTTCATTTCTTAAATTTTCAGGATAAAAAGAACAGAAGTGATGGACTCTGACTTGCAGAGTAGTAAGATGTGAAAGGAATGCACTTAAGTTTAAGGACCCTGACCTTGACTCACTCTCTGTTCAAGAGAAGAAAACAAGAAAAGTGACTCTCATCTATAAGAGAAAGTAAATCATTGAATTTTAAATGGTTATTACAGTTTTTATTCAATTATTTGTGATTTAGGTAATAAAAGTATTATGATCTGTGTTGTGTGCCCAATTGAGATCCAGTTTTTTATTGTTATTTTTCTTCAATTAGGGGCAAAAGTAGAGGGGGCAACTTCCAAAAATGACACCTTTCAGAATCTAGGATCTGTTGACTCTAGGTCACCAGTGTAAATTGGTTCAAGATGAAAATTACCTGGCACTAACCTGGTGGTTACCCAGAGATGTCACTGAAAAATGGTGGCTTCCATCGAACCTCAGGAAACTGAGGTTCACAGCCACTTTGGCAGTTATGGTGTTAGCCGGATATGGGTCTGCCACTTCTAGGTCAAGGACATAGCAAATTACATACAGACAGGAATTTAGTTGGAAACATTTGTGTGTTGCTTTTGTGCGATGTGATACTCTTGGAGATCATGGTGTTCATTCTTAGGGGTTGCCATTCACACATTCTTCCTTCAACAGATTTAGGGTAATTTTATAAAATATATTTTTATTAATTTCAGAGAGGAGAGGAAGAGAGAAATAGAAACAATGATGAGATAATCATTGATCAGCTGCCTCCTGCATGCCCCCTACTGGGGATCAAGCCCTCAATGTGGGCATATGCCCTTGTCCAGAATGGAACCTGGGACCTTTCAGTCAACAGGCTGACATTCTATCCACTGAGCCAAACAGGCTAGGGCAGATTTAGGGTAATTTTATTGATCGATGTCTTTTTCTTTTATTCACACAACCTTTCAACCCTGTCTTGTCCTCCTGTTGTTTGCTTCTGCTGTGCAAGATGTAGCACCTTTCCTCCTCTTTGAACATGGTCCAGTGACATGGTAGCGTCATTGCAGAAAGGAGCCAGACTTGTTCTCAGAGAACTGTGTTCACACGTTTCAGCAAAAATAGTGATGGTTGTAACATATGTATTCTCTTCCTTGGATTTGAAGGCACAGTCTATGGTGTTTTTTCACTTATCTTCTGATCTGAGGCATGAAAAACCAAGACTGAGGTTTTAACTATGTGTCCCCTGTATGTCAACAAAGTGTGTGTCACTGTCAGGCCAATAGACCAGCCCTCCAAAGGGTGGTTCTATAGCTACTGTATCTGTGTTGCATGATATACACTCATCATCTTCCTCCTGTGTCCTGCCTCATATCCCCCTGACTCCACGATTGAAAAGTAAAGCAAACCCCCCCGTTTTCTACTCCGTTAGAAGAAAATTAACGTTCTGACAGTGTGGTCACCTGGAGAATGTTTAGGTTATTAGCACTCGTTTTCCTCCTTTGTGGGTGTGTATTTGTATGTGCACGTGTATAAGACAGGCACATGCTTCTTCTGTACAAACAACAGTGGGTACCTACAGGGGAGCAAATGCTAATTCATGCTTTTAGCAAAAGCATTTAAAAACAAATAGCCTTTTTGGGTGGAATTATATTTGATGAGAATATTTGATCACTTAAAACTTTTAAAACTTTTAGGTTAGTTACCAAGTCTTTTGACTGCTCACCAACACCCTCTAAAAATACTAGTGATTCTTCCTGCTTGTGTAATAATAAGACATCCATATTTGTGTTTGTATTACAAACAGTTATTTCTCAGTCCACTGAATGTTCCCATGTGCTTCTTTAATGTCAAATTGATTGTCATATTTCATGTTGGGACCAAGTGGTATGACCTGTAATGACTCTCAGAAAACCAGATACACTATGAAGACTGCACTTCTTGAAAGAAAAAAAGAGAAAAAGAAAAGAAAACTAATTTTTCCCTATTTGTGTTGCTGTCCAAACTATTATATTATGTAGAGGGAGCTGTATTCCTTTAAACAACTTGCATGGCTCCTGCTGCTCTTTTTTTTCTGAAAATATTTATATTTTAGGAATATTGTTGTTACTTTAGAAAACAATTTCATTGAAAGGAGGGAAAAAGCAGATGGAC